CTTAAGGTTGATCCTTGATGTAATCCAACTGAAATGGGAAAATACCTGGTCAAACAACCTTGTGTTTTAACACAAGTAATAGCTCCTGCATACATATCTTTAATGATTTGAATATAAGCGTTATTAGCTCCTTTCTTTTCAAGAATTCTCCATAGCACTCCCTAAAGCCCCCAGAAAGACATCTATACTTGGAAAGGTTATCTCCTTATTCTAGTCGAGTTGACTTGGGAGTTTGAGTAATTTTGAAAGCTCGCAATAATCATCCCTCTCTGCTAAAAAGTTTATATTAAATTATCAATTCTTTAACCACGCTCACTCAATACATTACTTGCTGCATGTTTTCCTATAATTTTATAGGAAACTACATAGTTAGCCAAGTGAGAATTATGGAAAAACTAACAATTGTATAAGCCTAGCCCTGGTAAGCGGCTCCCTCACTTTACAACAAGATCTACATTAGATGGTGCACAAGTATCCTTCCAGCAGGCAAGTCAAGTGGCTACCCCATAAAGACGAAATGTCTGGAAAAAGACAAGGCCCATCTAAGGCGATGATGAGTCGGGAGAAAACACACTATTGCCTCGGAAGGTAACTCCTCCCTTTGTGAAAAGATCCACATTGAGCAGTGCGTGATTTCCCTTCCAATAGACGAATCTAGATGATTATTCCCACAAAGACAAAATACATAGCAAAAGAAAAGGCCGATCTAAGACAACACATGTGCGGAGTCAAAGAGTTAGAGAAATTCATTGGTTATCAACGAGCAAATATTATTATGTTCATTACACAATTTTATTCATTCACAAGAGCAAGTTAAATTAAAAGTTGTAGAAATTTATTCGTCATCAACAAGCAAGTATTATTATATTTATTCTACAACTTTATTCATTCATATGAGAAAGCTAAGTTAAATTTTAGAGAATTTCAAAAAAATAGTCATCAGTGAACTAATATTATTACATCACAACTAAGGACAAATGAGCACATACAAATAAAGGGATCAACGAGTGAAGAACTTCTTCTATCATATTGAATGACATTACATTTACATAATTATAAGAAAAAAAGGGGAAAGAATATAAAAGGCAACCTTAGTCAGTGATCACACTATCCCCGTAGCTCTCTTCCTCCGACATCAGATTATATGAGAAGACATTGTCCTCAAACTTGAAATTGAGCTCTATAGAGGCGAATAGCTTTTGCAATAAGTACTTGATGCACTCATCATATTTCCTATTAAGGATCTTTTGGTATTGAGGATAGTCAAAGAAGGCCACCCACCTTTCCTCCTTCAACTTGAAATCCCTAGCTTATCGGACAAGTTCTTCAATACTCCATCTCGCTAAGTCTTTAACCTCCTTTAAGGTGGCATACTTCTTCAACAGGCCCTCCTGTTGAGCTATCTCTCTCCTAGCCAGCTTTGTCTTCAGGGACTCGATCTCCTTCTCAACTGCTTGTTGAAGGGAGAATTCCTCATGGAGAATGGAATTCACTTTCCGGGGGCCTTCACTTAGGCTAGTGAGTTGCTTGACAATATGTTGATGGTCGCCTCTAAGGTGTACATTGCTAGTTTATGGCATAGGCACCCATGATCCCGCCTGAAGACACTCATGGTCAACCTCAAAGAGAAAAAGCTTACAAAGAAATTCACAAGCCAAAAGGACAAGTAACATACTATGGAATATGTCATACAAAACCTGCAGTCTTTCATGCTCTCAAACCAGGAGAACCCTCCACTTCAAGCTATCAAACGCTCAGGTTTCCTCCTTGTTGAGCTCAAGGACAACGGCCTTGTCCTTGGTGTAGAGGATGGGCGAGTTGGCACCACCCAACCAATGCATGACTTCATTTAAAAAAAGGACTTCCAGTCCCTCACCTTTTTCGCCAAGCCACTAATCCTAATGTAAAGCGAATAGAATTGAACACTACCATCCATGAAGGCATTGATGGAAAATATGTGGTGGAAGTGGAACAGGGAGAGGTTATGCTTGATCTTCTCTTGTCACATATGTGAGACAAAGGTCACCACGCTTACAATTGAGTTAAACATAATTTGCACCAGCACGAACCCGTAGAAGCTAAGGATCTTGGCCAGTTGTGAGAAAAGCATGAGTTGCAGGCCAAGTTTGAAGTGGCCATAGGGGAAACATAGCTAGCCCTCGTTGAAGGTGTCAATGTGTTCATACTTAGTGGGTACTCATACTATCATTCTTACAGCAGTACCTAAACCTAAAGAAGATTATATCAATCTTAGTCACCATCAAGACAAGATTGTACTTGAACTCAGCAAATGCCTTATGAAACCTCCTCAAAGATGCCATCTCAAATGAGAAAGCTCATGCAAGCAAAATCGAGAAGAAAATTGAGGCAAAGAATGCAGCGAAAAGAAATGAAGAAAAAATGTGCCCCACTCCAAAGGACCGAGGGATAATTGTAGAAAAAATGAAGACCCGAATTCCAACGCTCGAGTCACATCCGCCGTTAATGAGCTAGATCTCACCTCTCATAATCATGAAAATATCTGCTCACTTGCCCAATGAAGAGTTGTCCCCACAACCAACAATTGAAGAGTCACCCTCAATTTTAAAAAAAAAAAAAAAAGAATATTTGCTCTTGCTTAACATGGTAAAGAGGTAAAGATCCATCACAACTAAAAATTGAAAAGTCATCACAAATAAGAAAACAAAATAGCAAAAAAGTTTTAAGTTGAGTTCACAAACAAAAAATACATAGCACATAGAACTAATATTTTTTACAATCTCTATTACATCTATGCGAGCCTACTCACTCTCGAAAATAGCCTATATACATGATCTAACAAAAAGTCAGGAGACAATACACCTTTCTCCACCAAATGGCAAAGGATGAAGCCATCACTAGCAAAGAACTTACTGATTGCAATGACTAAAGAAGCTTGTGAGTTGCCATAATCTCGGCCCTCAGCTATGGCACCTCCCCATGCAACATAACATCTTTATTATTTGCCCAGCCCGCCTTCTCTAGGGCTTCAATCCTCCTCTTCTTTTTTCTCAGACTTGATTCTAATGCGGGTAAATCTTCCTTTTAAGGCTTGAACTTAAAGCAAAATTCATTCACCTTTCGCAATCATTTATCGAGGGTGACAAATTTAAGAATAATCTCATATCGCAAAGAACAAATGTATTGTCGAGAATATCACTAAGATTCATTCTTAAATTATATCTCGTTAGTAAAGACTCTCACGTGTCCTCTAACCTATGATTTTGATAGGTAAATGATTATGGTCGGGACCCTCTGACCGGTTGGTTTGGTCATAGATAAGCGCCAATAAATTATACTCATGGCCATAGTCTATATGTTCCTCAATGGCTAAAACTCTTGAGTAATGAATAATAGGGCATACTTCATATGACACAAAGCCTTATATTAGCTAAGTTCCACTTGGATTTATCCTCTTAAACAAAGCCTCACCCTAGGTTTATAAAAAACCTTAGATTTGCCGACATAGATGTTGTAGTTAAGTTGGGTAGAGTATTTCCTTTGACTAAGTAGAATAGGGACTATGACAACCCGGGACTACGGAACCATGGGATCTTGATCAAGTTCGTCATCCTTCCCCCACCATTTGCTTTAAGTGCAATGTGGTAAATTTTTAATATGAATATTCAAATTTACTGTTACTATATGTTCGGTATTTAATACTAATCTAATTACTAGCCTAATCAAATGTGTTCTCCTGTCATTGAGAGGAATAATTAACCATAAGGGCTTGCACTTATGAGAAACGTGAACTCAAATCTTAAATTTCTAGCAAAATAAATGTGAAATCTCTAGGCAGCATCTTATCTCCAATCTAATATGTCTTCCAAAAATTTATCCCGAAATATGATGCCATTGAAAGTCTTGAAGTCACATTATCATACCATTTCAATTAATTTGAAATATTTTCTCTGATATAATACAATCGCAGGTCTTCTGAAACAAATTTAGAGCTTATGCTCTACTTAATATTTGAAGAACATGATGCGAAAACATGGAAGGAGAAGAAAGTGATTGTAATGATGAATGAAAAAAAAAGCATATGAAAGAAGGAAAACGTGTTGCTGCTTTTCATCACAATCGGTAGCATTAACTTGCAGATGCAAAATATAATCTCTTGATTTATGTCATAACTACATAAATACCAGAGTATATAGCAGAGATTGAGCACTCTGAAACCTAGAAATAAGCATAAACCTGCACAAGAAAGACAACAATAAGGTCAATGGAAAACTGTGTGACGCTCATGTAAAAAGTTCAAGTAAAAATAGTTAAATATTGACAAATTGTGTAGACAACTTGTTAATAGCAGGATAATTAGTCATGGAGTGCAGTTCGAACAAACTAAAAGAAATTTATGGAAGAAAGAGAATGAAGAACATTTACAGGAACTAAATGGACAAATCATTGCACGTTTATACCAAGCTCATAATTTTTTACATGATTGTTCTCTTCGGGGTGTTATCTGCAGATATATCAGTGAATGAATTCCAATGAAATTACTATACATAACTACTTATGAGTTGAGGTGATAAAAGAAATGCATAAGCTTCATATGCGTATTCCCTAAGATCATGAAGTAGAAAGATGGCGCACATATAAGGAGGGAATTTCCAAAGTGCATTTCACACAAGAATTAAAATTGCTTTCTGAGATTAAAAAAAGGCAGTAGAAAACCTAAGTCAGCATTTCCTGAAACATGTGAACCTATACTCCACCAAAAAAAAAGTTTCAAATGAAGATGCCAATATATGTGGAGAAAAGAGACTTTACCAAACAATTAAGACTCTAAACTACCTTCAAAAGATTCGGGTGATGGTTAGCTAAAGACATTAAAACAAACACCCTTCCAAAATTTCATTCTAGCACCAATATTGGTATTCCAAGAGATAAGATAAAAGGAAGACTTAGATGCTTTCCTGGCATCCTTAATAAAATAAAAGATGTTAATGTCTTTATCCCTTCAAAGTCTATAAGATTAGAGTTATACAATATTTATTTTGAATAAAATAATTTTAAAAAGTACTTAAACTGCACTAAATAGATATTCAAATTCATTGAAAAAAAAGGAAACAAATAAGGCATGCATTTGCAAATGATGATCTGGATAAGTGAACTTTTCCTAAGTAAATGAAATATAATAAAAGAGTACATGATATGTAATTTAGTGGATGTATACAAAATAATGGGATATTGATGATGATATAACTTCTGTTAAAAAGCAAATTAGGTAAATGGAAAGATACCTTTTAAGCATTATGTTCTACAAAAATATCATGGATATTTAAAGGTAAAGTTTATAAACTTACACTTAAACCTAGTACGTCTAATGGATATGAGTGTTGCACTGCCAAAAAAAAAAACTAATAACCATGTTAAGTGAGGCAAAAATGAGAATGTTAAAGTATTTATGTGGTAAAATTAGGTTGAAATTGTGCTAAATTACCTTATGACAGATGATGAAAATAACATCTATTGAAAATAAGGTGGTAAAAATAAACTTAGGTGATTTTGACAACATATAGATAAAGATACAGCAATACAATAATTCAATAAAATTAATGCAGAAGGATGCTAAGAGAAAAGGTGGACCAAACAAAGATAGAAGCTTAATAGTGAATAGAAATGAATGAAAGTGAATGACACATAATTTCAATCCAAAAATAGTTAGGATAAGAAAAATGATGTTGATTCCATTTTACAGTCTATTTGCATGCTAGATTTGAAAGTTATTTTGTATAAAGAATGTATAGCATATCATACCCCCTGTATTGTCCAGTTGCTTCATCTATTGTGTCCATAGCCTGCCAAAGTAGTGCAAGTGGAACCCAATGAGGGGGATATTTAAAGCGGGCAACATCCAAGATTAGTGCCATATCACGACCAGCATGATAACCACCAATGGGAGAAAAATGACCGGTCCCTGTCTGAACAATTATAAAATTTAAGTTTTAACTCACCTAATTAACATCCAAATAGCAAAAGAAGAATACAAAAAAACTGAGAAACAGAAGCTAAATGAACCAAGATGAACATTCAGTAAAGCACACTTTAAATGAAATTCTGACAATCATGTTCTAGTAGTAGCGAACGGGTAAACCATCCATCTGATCAACCATCGAGACAGAAAGTTTCTACTAGTACAATCAGTAGGAGAATATCATCCTCAATAACTGTAGACGTCATGCAGGAAATTATGGCAATGTGAAAGAGCATGCCAACAAGCAAAAAGGTAGGATGAACAACATTTAATGGCTACATCCATCGCTACAAAGTATTGGTAGAGATGATTTATGCTTTAAACCAGCTAAGTGGGATAATAGATGTGGGAGAAACGCACCAAAAAAAAAGATTCAGAAAGAGAATTAAAAGATGCTGTTTTCCAATGAAACCAATAATATTTAATTTGCAGTTGGATCTGGCATATCAACCACACAAGATAAATGGTATTACTTATAGGTGCATGTACAGCAGGTTTTGATCTCACTAACTAGACGCATTCCATGAGCTTTATCTTACGAGTTACCCCTCCAAATATTTCCATGTAATCTAAATATGAGTAAGACAATCTCCATAGTATATATATATATATATGTTAGGAAAAAGCTATGTGTAAGTTTTAGCTATACTTAGTTCAGAATGACAAAATTCTTCAATGTTTACTGACTTTAGAATCATAAAGATGGTATCAATGAGAAAAACTATGGCGTGAAAATACCAATGAGTTAACAAACTTAAAAGATGACTTGCATGCCATTTATGGCAATGTTCTAATTTCTACGTTAACCAAATTCCTTCTTTTAAATTTACTGCCAAGTTAAAAAGTTCAAGGCATACCTTAAAGAATCAACAAAAGCAATGTAAAATGAAACTTTTAAATAAATAGTGGAGGAAGAAAATAAATATCTGCTGAATTTGGATGCAAACGTCACAATAGCCGGAAGTACTGTAAACTGGAGAAATAGGTTGACTGGATTTATTAAAGTAATAAACAAAAATGTCAGCATATATTGACCAACTTAAAAATGCTAACACATAATTCTGAGTTAGCATTAATTTTTACAATAGCTCTATCAGTTCGTCACCCAATTTTTTTCTTTCTACATATATGGGTTTTTTTCATATCTTCCGTTATCAGTTAAATTTTTTAGAGTTTGGCACCTCTTTTGCAGGATGATTGATACTATTAAAAAAAATAATTGACTAGATAAAGGATAGCTCATATCAAACGCACCATGTTTATATTTTAGCTACTTCAAGAAAGTTTTAATATATTACTCCAAGAAATTCTAAATTCTTGAAAGAATATAGTAGAAACCTGCTTAAAGGGTTTCCTATGGTATGATGTGATCAAATGACAATCCTCCGAGGAAGTACAACTAATGATATGATCACGAAAATCATCCAGGGAGCTTTGTTTTGTATTATAGGCCTTAACTTTAGCTCCAGAACAGTGAGCCAAGCACGCAACTTTTCCAAATGTGATCCCTTCACTTTTCACTTTCTCCAAAGGTTCACAACAATCTAGCATGGACTCATCAAACCACCTCCAAGGACCTGGATAAAAGAAAATGAGAATAGCCATTAACCAAATGATAAAAATGACTAAACAGAGAAATCAAGTAAAAAAATTTATGATTTAGAAGATCATTGGATCATTAGAGGATGGGAATAATTTATTTTATTACCTTATCTTGCTGACAATAGAAGAAACTGTCACATTATGTGCTTATATCCAATTATCCAAAGAATCAGAAGATTTACAAGATTATACCGTACATGCAAGAACATACAAGTGGAAATTCAAACTTGTAAAAGACAGCATATGTAATAGAAGGATACAGACGGTGCAATTTTCTGTGTCTAATATTTTACATAATTTGCTATGTTAACATTCAAAAGGAGTTAAGCTTGCACCAATGTTGAAAAGTTAACTGTTATATAAAAATACTAAATATGCATACTATGATTTGTTCTTTCATGTTCTTTAGGTATCAAGAAATGGCAAATCACTATAAGATTATAGAAAAGTAAATAAGACATTAATCTTTTATTGTTATTGATAGAAAACTAACAGCATATCTATGTCAAAAGCATGAAAAGCAATGATTTTATGAGTTGTGTTGGTTTATTTTGTTTTTTATATGAGTTGTATCAGTGTATTTTATTTTCTTTTATTATTATTCTACGAGAAACATGTCAATTATGTCAGTTCCTATACAGACGGGATGAATTCTCTAATATTTTTTAATAGTTTGTTAAGTTCAACTCAATCAGCACGTATGGAATTTAGAAGAAGCATTACCAAGTGTTGCTACACTTTACTATTCACTATTTTCCATCAACAAGTATAGTTGCAGTTTACAATTCACTGTTTCCCGAATGGGGCTGCTACTGATGTGTGTTTTCCCATTTTCTCACCATTTACCTCTATGGATTTCCCACTATGACTTTGTTCTTCCTTTACCGCTATATTGTTGTCACCATTATGGATTTACCACCATATTATTTTTGTTTTGCATTTAAACTTTCCCACTAAGTTATTTTGGTTGCATTTTGTGGGGTCCTAAAATTTCAACTTTTGGTTTCCCCGGCCTCTTTGAGTGATTCAAGGAGAATTTTCATGGATTAAGTTTCACGGAAAATTTTCAGAAGGCAGATTGGTTGACACTGCTCAGATATTTAGCCCTTATTTAGTGAGAACTTTAAGATCCGAGTTCAAGTTTACCATAGGCACAAGCCTTTATGATTAATTATCCCTCCTGGTGACAATATAACAGTTTCAATTAAGCCTAGCATTAGATAGGCACTTAGTACGTAGTGTATAGCAGCAGCAGGTTTAGATATTTTAGGGTTAGTTGTTCATGATTAGAAATTTACCATATTGCACTTAAAATGGATGGCGGCGTAAATGATCATAAAGCGATCAAAATCTCATGGTTCCATCTTCCTTGGTCAACATGGTCTCTAGTCTACTTAGTCAAAGGATCCTTATCTACAACTTTTTGTTGCTTCATCCAAGGGTACCTTATATACCTGGGGTGGAGGTTTATTTAAAGGTCAAATTCAAGTTGACCATACAGAGGCCTTTGTGCCCAACTACCTATTCTTGCTTGTCCGACAACCTATGGAATATGGAAGTTCGTTCTAAGTGATTTTTATGTTTTGACACATGTGCAAAGTTCGTTTCATGAATAGGCAACATACAGTCTCTCCACTAGCGTGTAAGGGGTTCCTCTTATGTAAATTTGATGTTTCAAGCACAACAGTGTAGCCCGTTTCACGATAGAAAGACATTCGGGTGATTTTACATATCATCATGCCCGTCAACTGTTGCTTTCATCTACCTTCACTCGATTGACTTGCACGCGAACAATTCTTCTCTAAAAAATATCGATGCTCTAAAAAATATCGATGCAATCTGTTTCACAAATTGATGAAGTTTGAATTGTTTTGATTCGATCAAGAAATGTTGAAGCTCGTCACATGCGACCTCTTATTTGTCGATTACCATTTTTGACATGCTTGCATTAATAGCGAAATATATATGAAGATCAACAAATTCCCTCCAACAAATATAGTATATTCCTATAGCAAACCATATTCGTTGCAACTGGTTGACCCTACGGATCTCCAAATCTTTGTTTTGGATGTCACACGAAGGGTTTCATTTTGCAGATCTCCAATAGCTTACTTGGATGTTACACTTACTTTCTTACTTGCATATCTTCATTGCTGCAATGAGCAAACTAAGCTTTGATTAATTTTGAAGTTTTGATGGCCTTTAAAAATTCTCTTTGAGTGAAAGTGAGACTAACCTCAAGAGTCAAGTGTTGAATTTGAGTCTCTTCTGGCTCGGGTGATAATAGCTTGTTGAGCCAACAAAGGATTGTGATTGGTCTAATGCTTTGTGTTGAATGGACTTTTGATAAAGATTTTTCATTATAGAGTTTGGGGAAACCTTCTGCCCCAACTTTATACTTTGACGGACTTGATGAAGGATTTTACTTGAACTATCTTCTTTGATTTGTCAAATTTTGATTACACCGTCTACCCTATACTTTTTGCTTTAACAGGTTCGACGAAAGAATTTTCCTAATGTCTTCTTTGACTTGTCAAGAGTAGAGCATACCTTCTGTCCTATGCATTATGCTTTAGTGGGCTTGATGAAAGATGTGATGACTTAGCTATTGAGGCTTATTTTAGGTCGATGGTTGGGAATTATTAGTCCGGAGTTTTGTGTGAAATTGACTTGTTGATGATTAGATTCCCTGCTTTCAGCCTCAAGATTTTTATGAAAAACAAGATGACTTATTGGATTTTCTAATTTGTGTTTTATCGAACTTATTGAAGAATATAAGCTTTTTCAATCTTTACTTTGTGCTTGACAAACTTATTGAAGAGAATTATGCTTCTAACTTGATAAAGATATTGAATTTGGCTTGATACCTTCTTTTGTAATGGACCACCCTTTTAGTAGTACCTTAATCCTTTGACCAATTTATAAGAACTCTTTGATTTGGGTTTCTTGAATTTCTCAAATTGGATAAGCTGAGGACTTGATCTCTTATCTTCAGGTTGTAGAAACAGGGCTTTCTTACTGCAACCTATCTTGTGGTTTGTTGAGTAAGCAAAGTTGTCAGCGACTTGACCAAACATAGGCTTGTAGAATCCGAACTTATATACTTGCTTGAATGCGGGGGCTTTCCTACTACAACCTCTTCTCATGGCTTGTTAAGTAGAAAAAAGCTATTAGCGGCTCGACCACGTCTAAGTTTATTGAATCCGACCTTATACACTTGTTCAATCCCTAAACTTGAATTACAGGAGATCGTGTTTTTTTCAATTAGATTTGTTGAAATTTGCTAATGAAAAGTTCTTTCTTCCAAGCTTTTAAGGTCTTGAAACTTGCTCATTTGGCAGTCTTTTGGCTTGATCACACAAATATTTTTGTATGATATTTATCTTCTCGACTCTGCTTCAATCTATTTACCAGTTGAGGGAACCTTATAAATATGAACTGTTCCGTTTCTTCAAGTTGGATGAGCTCTAAACTTCATAGCATTTATCATCGGACAAAACGAAAATAATGGATTTCCTACTACGAACTCTTCTCAGGCTTGTTGAGTAGAGAAAAGTTATGAAGGTGGGGATCTTCGATATTCAAGATGATGACTTGATAGACTCCTCGATACACCAGAATCAATTCCCCTTCTTGGAATATTCGAGAAAGTATCAGACAAACAAAAGATCTTGACATCTTCGCTCGATAAATCTCAAGATTATGTTGGGCTTGGAGTTTGATTTTATCCAATGCATTGACTCTTCCGTCCTCAATCGAGCGTTCTCCTCTTGAGTGAGATCACATTGAATATCTACACAAAGCGATAACAACTCAATCTCAAGAGGCAATACTCTTTCAATATGTCATCCTCTATTATTTTTAGTAATGATCGTTTTGAGTAGCTTTATCATTATTTTCTTTAAGACTTCTACCAAACCATTGGCTTTTAAATTGTAAGTTGACAAATGTCGTCAATCAATTTTGTGTCGGTCGACGAATCTTTTTTTTTATGCTTTTAAAAATTGGGTTGTTGTCTGAAATAATACAGTGTGATACGCTGAATCTCTAGACAACATTGTAAGAAAGTTGATCACTTGATCAACAGTAACTTCTTTAAATCAATCCGCTTCAGCACCCTTAGACAAGTAGTTGGCCGCTGCCAAGATGAGACAGTGCCTAGTTGACAATGGTGGGTTGATTGGGCCAATTATATTTGTGCCCCAACACTCGAACGACTAAGATAAAATTTTAGAGTGCAATGGATTTGACAATTAATGCAATGTATTACCATGCACTTGACATTTGTGACTCTTCTTAACAATTTCAATACAAATTTTCACCATCATTGACCAATAATAACATATTCTTTTAATTTTGAGGGCATGCGACCTAACTGATGTGCATCACAAAGTCTTTCATGAACTTCAATCACCACCTTATCAGCTTTCTTAGTCCCCAAAAATTACATCTACATTTGGACATGTGATACAGAGTTTTGTTTATAAATATATATCACAACACCCTTTTCCAATTTGTGTAGCTAACGATTTATTTGTTGGAAGTTTGTTTGCTTAAAGTAATTAATCAAGGGTTGCCTCCAATCATCTTTCTTTTCTATCATTAAGACTTCATGTCATGATTATGAGACTTCAAAAGACTTATGACTTCTTTTGATGACATAAAATTTGTCTTGATGATTCTCAGAAATGATTTGTAGCGAAGAGTAATGATCAACTAGAGTTGCATCATTTTGTCTTGAATTTAACGACAGCTCTTTATACGAGGTTTATATGAAAGTTGGCTATAGCACTCGGTGAGTGTAGACTCCAATCAACATGTACTCATTGTTCATGCTCATTATTTCTTTGGCTAGCTTTGCTAGAGAGCTTGCTTTGCTATTTAGAGCTTAGGAGATCTGAGTCAAAGTGATGTTTAGGATCTTCTTCATGTCACTCCAGAGCTATAGCATTTTCCTGTTAAGGCTTTTGGGCTTACATGCTCTTAATTCGGATGTAAATGCAACTGGAGCACATACAATCAAGCTCACACAAGAAGAAGAAATTGTCTAACAATCTTAAGGATAAACTCTTTAATGTACATCATGTACAATAAAAGATTTAAGTACAAAAACTTGAAAAAAAAAAATATTTTAAGGATGGCAATGATCCATTGCTATGTGATGACTTGTCATCGGATGATAAATAACTTGTTGATGATGAAATTCAGTTTTAACCATCTAATTTACAAGAACAAGCTCTGAACATTGATTTCTTTGATGCTGATAAAAATAAATCATATGCGTCTAAGAGAACAGATATATAAAATTTTGAATTCCTTAAATTTTTTTAAAAGTTAATTACTATTCTCATTTTTTTGGGGATTACTAATATTTAGGAAGAGGAATATACGTGAAATTAGAGAAGAAGAAGAAGGTTTGGGACTTCGAACTCTACTAATGATGAGGCATGGGAGAAAGTTATCCGCTATGAAAGACCCTCAAAGCAATGATAGTATTGAGGACTTTTTTATTTATTGTTATGCTGTTAATTTAATCATTAGAAGTTCAATGTTGAAAAGTAGAAAATTAGGAATGAAAGAGTTAATTTTGTGATTAACATAGTTAATGTTTTTAACTCCAACTAGATATATTATGTTATTTTTATTTAATTTTGATATCTTATGTTACTTTTGACACATTGATATTTGCATTACAATTCAAATTCGCACAATTGGTTACTTATTACTTCGCATCTTGCACAATTAGTTACTAAATATATACATTACTTTTTTACTTCTTAGTACATTAGAATGTTTATTTGTCATTTTGGAGTGTATTATTAGTTATAATGATAATTCACTTCTAACTTTTATTTTAATTTTAAGCAATTTTTGGACTATGAGGCTTACGATTAAAATGCCTTAGGCTAATTCACGTCTAACTTTTATTTTAATTCACTTCTAACATTTTTTGCATCCCTTTTTTGGTTTTTTAGTGAGTTTTTCTTTGCATGTTTTAGTGTGAGAATGGTGCAAAAGAGAAAAGGAGAGGGTAAGAAAGAATAAAGATATGTACTATTTCTCTCAAATTTTTATAGTGAATTTCTTGGTGAGGAGTGGCTCTGTGGTTTTTTTCCTAGTTTCGAATTTTTCCATGCTAAATCTAGTGTTCTTTCTTTTTCGCTGCTTATTTATTATTTGTTTTGCTGTGTGGTTTTAATTCGCCAATAACACCTACTCCAAATGTAGTATCATGTTTGGGACTTCCATTACGCAATATTTTGGGAAAGATTTCCTTTTTTCGCCTGGATCCTTAAGAACTTATGCAAGTGAAATTCATGAAAATGTTTATACTGTATGTGTTAAAACCTACTTTTTTTCAGTAGATTTATATAGATTTTGCATAGTTTCTTATTTTAGGTTCATATAAGTCTATAAATAGGACCCCTGCAGGAATATAAAATTCCTCGTATGTATAGAAATAAATTTCTTCTTTTTTTTTTCTTTTTATGTTCACGTGCTTGCTAGGTGTGAGTTGTTTAAGTGGGGCATAGGAGTGGACAACAACTTCCAAGAGAAGATTCCTTGTACTAACATGAAGCCTAGACTTTCTCTTTGGGGTGATTTTTAATTCTATCTTTTAAATTGTTCAGCCATTAGTTTTGCATGTTGATTAAAACTTCATCAAGCAAGATATGTGTAGGGTTGCTGTTGAAGCGTAAATTTTATAGTTATTGAATGTTATAATTCATCAAAATTTTCTTGTGAAATTTTAAATGTTGTGTGATTGTTATATTATTTTGTGAAATGAACAAAGCGTGATTACTATGCATGTATTAAAAGCAATAAGCTTTTGTTGAAATTATGAATAAGAAACTCTGAATTATAGTTCTATTTTATTTTCAATTTGCATATCATCCTAGATTGCACTAAAAATTATAGATCCATACCCGTTTTAAATCAATCGTTGAATAGATAGCCAATATACAGATTTTTAAAAAAATTTAAGACTGAACTAACCAAATTGATAATTGTATGCATGGATAAAAATCACCTTTCCACTTTCGTCCCGGATCAATTGCGAGAGCATTCAGAACCATGGACAGACTTGCCAAACCACAATAGGAAGGCTCAGATTGTGTTTGGAAGTAGGAAATCAGCTTAAAAAATCCCTCCATAGTTCCATTTTGCAGGGCTTCAGAAAAGAGTTGCTGGACATTTCAGAATAGTCAAAGAAGGTAAGCAACTATCAACAGGAAACTAGAAAGGCTTTGCCGAAATTCCAAGACAATGTAAAAGGAAATTTTAACTAAATAAAGCAGAAAGGAAAATGAGAAGGTCATAAAATCTCTGAATCACAAAGAACGGAGAGAACATATGAAATGCCCTTTCCAAAACACGATGGAGAACTTTTTTTCTGTAAAAAAGATAATCTAAGAGAGTTATAAGCGCAATATAGTTTAGGGAAAAAAACATTAATTGCAGTCATCATCTAAAAATTCAATAGATGCAGTCATCCAAAAGCAAATAATGTTCACAGAACCTTATCTAATTTTATGCCCATAAATTCTTTGTTTCTTAACACAGTCTCAACCCTGATTGCAAGACATAAGAGAGTGAATTGAAAGAATTTTCCCTTCAACACGTAAATTCTAGTCAACACAGTGCACCAGTGAAATCCAATAATCTGTGTTTGATTGATCTTAAGCAGTTTGACTAGACTTAACATCAATAATAAGTATAAAAATAGACTTGTAACTGAAAACATTTTCTTCGCATAAAGAACCTTGAACATCCAAATTTCAAATCAGAAAATTGTGCCTTCTCGGAATACTAAGTTGCATGTGTGACAGACAGGCAACAACTATTTACATATTAATACCTTAAAACACAAGATTTTTCACCATCACATGTTGACATACGTGGAAAGTGAAATCCTAACCTTAAACAGACATAACCGTAGAACATATTATGATGAAAGCTTAAAGCTGAACTATTGCTACTGGATAAAAGGTTAGCGGGGGCACGTTGGGCAGTTTAGCTATTGTAGGGATAAATCCTACCAAACATAAATTTATAGATTTTAAATCCTACTATTTTAATAGATCCCATTTCACCACAATTATCGATTAAATTAAAGATTTGTTAAATCCCACCATTCACAGGATTTAATGGACATAAAGATTTCTCATTGTCAAAAATCCTAAATTCTTAAATAAAAAGCCAAATAATTTATCAATATTTAACCAGACTTAATAGTTCTCATGTAAAAACCCATGTTAAGTTGAACCGGGCCAGTTTAATTGACTTGGCCTGGCCAGATTTCCTTCCACCAACTCTTGGTCCCTCTTAAATCCAGTAGACAATAAGTTAGGTCAAGAGAGATGTGAGGGAAAGTACTCGGGCGAATGAACCAAAGAGCGATGATGACAAAAAGAATGAACAGGAGGGAGATTACAAGATGGTGTGAGTGAGGACCGAGAGAGTTCCATCATGCCAAGAGAGATGCATGAATGGGGGACCAACAACTTGGTGACATAGAACCGAGGAAGGGAGAAGGCTCGTTGGTTGGAATTTTGTTATAGGAGATCTTCATCTTTATGAAACTAGGAAAGCTCTCAACTCTAATTTTATTCTTGGTAAATTTTTTGTGTTTATGGAGATATGAATTCAAGTGGCGCTAGGTAGCTTATTAAGAGGTAAATGTACATGATGTTTCAACTAGTAAAATCCTAACCTAGTTTCATCTATTATGATTAATTTCACTTAAAGAGATGTTATCTAAATATTAAACCTAAGATTATATAGTGACTATGATTAAGAAAGTTATTTTGAATTGAGTTAATGGGTTGTGCTATTCAGAGGTTAAGTAAATCATTAACTTAAAAGAAAGAGCATCAAGTTGTGTATTAGTAACAAAGGTTGAATGGGTGGTTTGTAAATATAACACTTTTAGGTTTATTGTAATAAGGAGATTAATAAAGATAATGAGATCTATAAAAGATCAATTGGGGTTCATTATGAAGTATAAATTCAAGGGAATTTGTAGAATCATTATTTATAAGAATATGTTTAATTGGTGCTTTTGGTCATTTATGTTCTAGTATAAAATGCATTGCATTTAATTTAGATTCTTTTCAATCTAGGATGTGTTAAGTACCGTGTGTTGAAGCAAGAAAGATTAACATCCAAATCAAAATATTTGACTGCTTCGTAATCTCTATTATGTAGTTACTTTTTACTAATTAACGGATAAACATATTGCTCCTTACTGTAAATATATTCATTATTACTTATTTGTATGCTTCAATTGTTGATATTCTATTTGAAATTTATTTTATTTAATCATAGTAATTCACATGATCATATTGATATGATGTAATAGTTAATATTATCATTTCATTTGTTGCACAAATTCCAACAAAAGTTTGTATACATCATTGTGATTGCTGAGAAATACATACTACTTTTTTTCTTTTTTTAAATACCTTCTACTTATTTAAATCATAAACTATATTGATATGTGATAATTTTTTCTAATAACAATAATAAAATTTTAATAATGGAATCTTTAATCTAATATAAATTTATATAAGGTATACTTATGTGCATGGTATGTGTATTGTCGATAGTACCCCTTTAAATATTATCTAGCCAAATCGAAAGGTCCACATCTATGTTGCACCGATACGGCGACACGGATACGACACGATACGGTTACGGGACATGTCAATTCTTAAAAATACAGGAAACGGGTACAGCGCGGACACGACATTATAATTTATAAATCATACATAAAAATTAAGAAAACAAACAAAGCATAACAATTGAAATTACAAAAAAAAAAATGACAACAACATCATTTGTAGCCTTGTAGCTTATAATATCAAAATATAAGCAAGCATTAAATGTCTAGTACAACAACAAAAGCATAAACATAAATTATCTAGCACTTGGGGTTTCAACTATTCAATAGAGGGAATTATATAATTATCTTCTTCATCGGTTTGTCTTTGAACTTCTATATCATCTTCAATAAATATCATTGCTTCTAATTCAGGCTCATTAAGTGAAAGATTAGTAAATTTTAATATTTTTCTATCATCAAGAGACTCAAATCCACCTCGAAAATGAGAGAATCTTGCTCGCAACCACGGAAGTAAATACGACACGTCTTTTTTTTCAGATTTCTTTTTTGTTTTTCAAAGGACACACGCGTGTCCTTTTGAAATTAAATAGTATTTTAATTGGATACGGCTTTGGCGTATCCGACAAGTATCGGTGGAGTATCGGAGGCGTATCCGTGTATCGGATACAGCACGCCTTCATAAATAGGTGTATCGGTGCAACATAGGTCCACATAGTGGCAAATCCTTAAAAAATATTAGATTTTTATCAAAGTAGTGGTCATCTATTATAGTTGTAAGGTGTCGTAGTAAAACCATGTGTACTACATATATATGCATATATATAAGGAAAATTATGAATGAGTAATTGAAATATATAAATATAATCTACATGTAAGTGAATGTTTTCACATTTGAAGGAAATAACCATAAGTTTGAAAATATTTTTTTATAAACTATATTGCATAATAAACACTACTTAATTATTACAATATTTTAAATATTATTTTTTATATACTATCTATAACTATTTGGCAGAACTCCCATTTCTATTTTTTACTACTTTATTGTTCATATTTGTGCCCATGCCTTTTTATATTTCACTCATGGGTTTCACCACTGACTTTGTTTATTACAAATGCATTCCTATTATTTTATGATTTTCAAGTTATTAATTATTCATCATCTAGAATAGAGTTCTTTTACCCATGCTTCAGGTTCAGGTACATCATTGAAAGATGATTAAGGTTAGATTAATAAGTTAGTTCAATAGCAATTTATTTCTCAGATAAGTAACGCATTACTTAAATTATATTTACAGTTTGGTAGATAAACTAATAGCGTTATTAGATTTAGATGCTCTGATAATCTTATTAATGGACAAATAGTCTCGGAAATCAGTTTGTACTTCTTCATACTAAATTATTAAGATTCATCTCAACCCTTCTTGTTGAGTATATTGATTTACTTCCAGGCCCATAGGCGTAGTGTGACATCTCACATCAACTTTAATCCTCTCAAATTATGATCAATCTGAATTTACATGAATAACTAAATCCAACATGAGTTAAACATCCTAACTTCCGATTTAAACACTAGGAAAGCACATTTTAAACAGCACATCGCCAAATATGCGCCTCAGTAACCAACCCTAACTCCTCCTTTTCCACCAATCTCGACGGAGGAAGTCGAAGGAATCGAATCCAAATCGAGAAAATAATTGAATGGGTAGAAATCTTACCTTCCCTTCAGCCGATGCGAACTCGATGGCCGGCGGCGATGGGAGAATCCGGCGGTAGAGACCCGCGACAGCCATTTAGCTGGTTGATTCCCTTGAATTCTTCTGCTTGGTGTACTCCGGCGGCTAAAGGGTTTCTTCTTTAACCTTTTCCATTTATATAAACGTCTTCGTGTATTCGCGTCGGCGAGGCCGCAAATTTTTTAAAAATATAAAATAGAAAACGACTGTTTAACAAGTATTTTGACAATTGGTGGAAGGTAAGTCAAGCCGCGGCTCACGCTAGGAAGTAAATATTTTATGAAATTTGATGAGTGAGGCTTTATTTAGGTTTTTTTTTATTGCAAATATTTTTTGTATTTGAATTTTGTATTAAAAATTTACTTTAAAAAATAGTAAAACAATTTGTCATTAATACAATTTTAATGAGTCAAAAATAAGCTGACTCGACTCAATTAATTGGCACTTAAATTTGCTCATTTAATGATAGTTAATTATAGGTGTAAATTATTAATCCAACTCAAAAAATTCGGAATCGGGTCAACCCGTTCAACAAACAGGTCAGATTTGTATACCAATTTATGATCCACTTGAAAAATGGGGTTGGATTCGAGTCAACTCACTAACTCGGATTTGAAATAAGTTATAGTTGCCCACATGTGTTCCTGCACAAGCTCGACGCTTCGCTGTGCTGCATGTGCATACATATTGCACCCCACACAAGCAGACTCGCTCGCATTTGTACCCTGAGTCCCTCGCACCACGCGCATGCATTCAAACCCAACACTCACACTCACCCCTCACTTCACCCGTTCTCATCACCCACCTCACACTCACGCTCATAGTTGGCCTACACCCTCATTCGCCTGCTACCTTGCTCGAAACCGAGTTAGCGCGGGTCGGGTTTGGGTTTGAATTCCTAAGGTGTTTGACTAATCAAGTCGTTTCAAGTTGGATTAGTGAAAGGCCAGTCAGTTTCATATTAGTCCCGAACCCAATCCAAAAATCCGTTTTGACTCCCCTTATTATTAATATAAATTATACTTGAACTCTAAAGATATTCAAAATATTTATATTTTAAATATCACTGATATATATCTAATAAATTTTTATTATTTTATGTCTAATTTTTATTTTTCTTATTGTTTTGCTATAATAACATTCAAATCAAAATCATTTTATCTTAGTTTATGATAAATGAGCGAGCTCTTAAGGGTTCAAACTTAACAAATTATATATATATATATATCATCATCATCAAAAAATTATCTTGATCAAGCATGAATCTTGAGATAAAAATCGAACATAAAAATTTTAATTGGATACCATCTGAACTTCGATTTCAACAAACTTATAGTCAAACTGAACGTCTCAAAAATATGAACACAACGACACCAAATTCAACCGTGTTTGAGCTCAAATAGTTCCAAATCAAAGACCAGGAGCGCATTTGGAAGGTTTAAACCATAATTTGGTTACCAAACGGTTTCCAAACGTGACATGCTTATATTCAAATTGAGCGGCTCGACGAGACGAATCCAACAAATCCAGGATTGCCAAATTTTGATATCATTAAGACATTCAAATGCCCAATGAACTGTCTATGATCAAGGGAATCAACATCGCCCGTCCATTCAAACCACTCTCAATTCACCATTGATCTTCCTCTTATTTACTAGTCATGCCACTCTCAGAAAACTAAAAAATAACACCCCATGGGAAAGGAAGAAAGGGCCCAATGAAGAATATAGTGAAGAGAAGGAAGAGAAAGAATAGTTCATTGCCACAAGACTCCTCAACCACTTCCCGGCCACCGACCGATGTCGGAATTCCGCTCGGCATTGGATTTGTACCAGACGCTAGACTTATGCTCGTCATCGAATTTCTACCCGACACCTGACTTCCGTTCGTCACCGGATTTCTACCCGACGCCGGACTTCTACTCGGCGACAGACTTATGCCCGTTGTTGAACTTCAACCCAACGTCATACTTCCGCCCATCGTTGTATTTCTACCCAACATCGAACTTCCGCCCATCGCAGGACTTTCGTCAGACTTCTGCCCAACGCCAAACTTTCACTTATAGCTAGACTTTTGCCCATCGTCGGATTTCTACCTTACATCGAACTTCTGCCCGACCTCCAACTAACGCTGGACTTCTACCCGGCTACCAACTAACGTCAGACTTCTACCCAACCTCCAACTCATGTCGGTTTTCAGCCCGGCCACCAACTAACGCCCGACTTCTACCTGATTGTCATCTGACTTCAAACTTCTGCTCGATTGCCAATTGATGCCAATTTTTTTACACGACCACCAACTAATGCCAGACTTTTGCACTTCCTCCAATTAATGCTTGACCTCCATCGCCCTCCGACAACGGTCTTTCTGACTAATATCATCCGCCAACTACGATCCTTCCAACCTTGTCGCCCTCCGACAACGATCTTTTTTATCCATGTCGTCTACTGACTACAGTCCTTTCGACCTCCGTCGTTAGAAAATGATCCTTTTAACCACCGTCACCTGACTACAATCTTTCTAACTACCATCACTTGCCAATTATGGTCCTACCGACCAAATGAACGCCTCAATAGTGATTCTTTCAAGACCCATCATGTAATGTATTTTATATGATATATATTTATCTAGTCAAGGCCTTTCCCAAAGGAAGGGCCTCATTTGTAATCGACTGCAAATAATAGTGGATACATTCAAACTGAGTCAGGCCCCGTGCAGGGGTGTCAATTCGGGACAATGGGTTAGGTTCAGGTCAAACCCGACTTGACCTGATTGAAAACAGGTTTACACTAACCCGACCAGGTTTTGCAAACGGTTAGGATTGTCAACCTGGACCCGACCCGTACAGGTTACCTAGTTGACTGACCCTACCCGCAAAGGAGTTTTGGAGATTGGGATTCGAGCAGTTCGAGCAAAGTTAAAAGTTGCGACTGATGTGCGCCTGCGCGAGCTTCGAGCTGGTGCGGCTCTGCAGTTTGACGCGGGGGAGGGCTTGACCGGTGCGGCTTCAATGTTCAGCATGAGGGTGGGTGAGAACAATGCAGCTCCGGTGCTCCGCGATGTGCATATGCAGTCCTTGGTTTGACAAACTGACGCAAGTGGTGTGCCTTGCCTGGTGTTGGCATGACGTGAATGGTGCGTCTAACTCCGCGATTGTTTGACTGAAAAATATGTGTTTGAAAAGTATTAATTTTTTTTAGAAAGATTACTTTCTAGAATTTTAGTTTTTAAATCAAACATGTCATTATGAATAATATATTGCCTCGGGAGGCGAATCTATAATTCTCTAATTAGTTTAAATTTCAAAACTTTAAATTTTATCCTGATTATTATAGGCAAACTCAGGAGAGACAACATATGATCTCGACAGATCAAAATGATGTTAAATCAATTGTTTGACTATAATAATTCGGATAAGAGATCATTAATTTCATAATCAAAATCACAATAGTAATTGATATCTCTCTGAGGAAAGAAGTTATCAATCACTATTGATCGTTTGAAAATAGAGATAACTATCGTTGAATTTTAAATTTCCCAAAGATAATTTATTAAAGGTTTTGAAAACTTAGTTTTTGAAAAATTGGATCTGGGTTTCTAAATCTATTACGAGCGCAAGCCCTCGTAGTTAATTACATAATAGAAAATTAAAGTTTCTGATGAATACTATCGATTAAAATAACGGTAGAAATTTTATTTAAGATTTCAAAGATTGATGTCAATGAAGGTAAAAGTTAGAAATTTCAAGTGGGATTGGTTAAATGTTGAACCCTTATTTCTAGAGTCATAGGAGGAACGATAGGATGTGCTTTAAGATTCTGAATAACTTCAAAAACACCCCAACCTATCCTAAGTATTGGGCTTGAATTTGATTCAAAGAGATATTTAGTTTGAATAATCAATTTTATTAGAAAATTAGTATTCAATTCCCTGAGGTTGAGGGCTTATAGCCTGAGTCTGCCTCAAAACCCAAGTCTAAAGTGGGTACTGAAAATCAGTGGCCCGAACCTACTTAATGCAATACAGATCTGGACTTAACCCGACCTGGATTGGGAAGCCAACTAAACCACCTAAATGCTTTAAAACCATGTGTCCGATCATTAATGAAAGAGTGGTTAAGGATGTTAATTATATTAAGTTTAAGGAGAGCGGGGCCGACATCTAGAGTAGATCCTAATTGGCCCCTTAACATATGTTGGGTATTTGATGTCTAAGTAAATGCAATTAAATATTTAGACACTTTTAAATTTGTTACTAATATGATGCATTCAAGTTGACTCGATTGAATGCATGAATCAAAATGAACTAGTTTAAAATTTTGGCTTAAAAATAGGTTTTTTTCTAAAGATTGCATAACATCCCCTTGATAGATCTACGCCTTCATAGATCAGGTGGTATGTCAAAACCCGCAGGTGGGGAGATGCCTAGCAAGGTAGAGAATGTATAATATGATACTTGGAAAACCCTTAACGAGTCAGAGCTTACTTCTCAGGACTGTTGGAGTTTCTATCTGAGTTAAACTTTTTAATTAGTTTAAGTAGAAGAATTTTTATTGTACCCTCACGAGCCTCCGATCAGATTCCAAGCTAAATCAAAAGTGACATGCAAGAATCGCAAAAAAAACTACTAAAAGCAGACAATCTTATATTGCAATCAACATCAAATATTAATCAAATTAACTAAATTAATATTCAAATTGAAAGTCTATAGACAAGTGACACTTAATATTACATCTCAGAATAACATTAAAGTAAAATGACCGGGTACCACTAATAATAACCCGAATTTCTAATCCTAAGACTCAAGTGACTTTGAAAATGGGTCTTCTCATTATCCACTTGTTCATCCTTCTGCTTCTTCTTGGATCGTCAGGTCTGGATATTCAAATGAAAAGAAACTCCTCCTTGGATGGGGTGTTATATTTCCTCTTTGGATAGTTTAAAATCATCATAATTTGGATCTCCAAATGGAGAGGGACTCTCCCCTAAGGGATGTCCCTTCCTCTTTGGATTCCAAATTGGATGTTATCCCATTCTCAAAATGTCACTTTAAAATGCAACTCAACTTGCATCAAATTACATTTGAATATAAAAGAAAAATTTAGACTCAACAACATGCAGGGTTATCCTAAGTAGTTATAATAAATCTC